CCACTGCTGGGGTCCGATGACAGACACGAGGCAAAACACGGGCCTGAGCGCACACACCCGACCAGAGGGTGGGGGCTGAACCCCGAGTCCTGAACGTGCTCCCGGTTAACGTGTTAGAAGACAAAGAACCACCGACACCTGGGCTTCAGCCCCGGCACCTCCGACCTGGGGGACCCAGAGCATTCGGCCGCCTCTGCTGCCCTGGGCCCGCACGAGGCCTTTCCACACTGCACTCCCTTTGACCCTCACGGTCACAGCAAGGGACAGCACCATCCTCTCCCACGTGGGGACTGGGGACGAGCAACCTGGGGTGGGGGGACACCAAGTCCCCTGCCCACGGCCACGCGGCTGGAAGGAGGCAGCTCTGACTCCACAGGCCACACTGCTGACTGCTGTGTGGCCCTGCCTGTCTCGAACACGGCTCGACGAGGGGGGTGCCACGCCCCAGGGACCCCCCTACCCCGCGGGGGGGCACCCACCCGGCTGCCCCCCCACTCAGTGAAGCAAACGTGCGCACTGCAAGCTCGTCACTACTGATCTGCGGGCGACGGGCCGGGCATGGACGGCGCATCGCCATGGCCCAGCACGGCGGACGCGGCTCTTTCTGGCTCGCCGCCTCTTCCCACTGCATGTCCTGTTCCGGTGACACCTGCAAGGTGACGGCCGTGGGTGTGGAGAGGCCTAAAGGGAGCCCCTCCGAACTGCCCCGAGTCACCCCCGGCGGCGTGCAGAAGGGAGACCCAAGAGAGGCGATGCTGACTGGGGCGGCCCTGCCATCAGAGCTGCGGCTGTGCACCGCAGCGAGGACGGCGCTGCTGCCAGCGCCGACCACCATCACGTCTCCCTGCTGCCGGCTCCCCCCAAGTGTTTACTTAAGCCAACACATTGCTCTGATAATTGGATAACATTCCACGTGAAAATAGACCTTTTAAAGCAACAGCAGTGGCAGCAGATAAAAACAGCTGCAACTGCAAAAGTAGGAAGTGGCGGTGGTGGCTGGGCTGGCAGCACCGAAGGTGCACACGTGGGAGGACGTGGACGTCCCGGGGTTGGTGCACATGTGGGATGACGTGGACATCCTGGGGTCCAGTGCCGGGTCTGTCCTCTGTGTTCCTCTACTTCCAGCCCCCTCCCCCCTCCGCCCATGGCTGGCCTGGTCTGGGTGAAGGAAGGAGCTTCTCAACGAATCTAGGGGCTAATAGTGGCCTCTCAGCCAACGGGGATGAGCACACGGGTTGGGGACCTGGGCCGGGAGCCAAGGCCACCCGCCCAGGTACAGCGCTGCTGCAGGAACACCCGCTCGTCCTCTGGGGGCCAGACAAGCTGCTTTCACCCTGGGCTTGCTCCCAAGAGACGCTGGCAGGAACAGCCTCTGGGTCTTCTTCCAGTACGACACTGATGAGCCCTTTTCTTGGGGCCATACTGGGGCTGGGTAAGGGTAAGGGGTGCGAGGGCCCTCAGTGTCCACAGACACATGAGTGGAGGGTGGCAGGGAGGGGCTGAATGTGTGGGCTTTGGAGTCAGACGGCAGTTTCCCAGTTCCGCCCAGCACTCAAGGCCCTCAAGACTTCTTCCTCCCTTTCAACCTCGGTCTTCCCATCTGTCACGTGGCTTCCTACCTCCTATCTCCTAGACTCCCAGGAGAAATAAACACTATGTAGGCGATTCATGCTTTTTAGGGTGGATACTTTTACCAAGGCCAAGAGGCTGCTCTTCCAGAAATACCGTCAGGGCCCTGGGGGCCACGGGGCCGGTGCCATGGACACCGTGGAGAGCTGAGCACCAAGTGTGCGCCAGGGCACCACTTGGGAAGTTACTCTATCCACCGGTAGCCAGTGCGCGCGGCTCTGCAGGTCAGCGGAGAGCGCTGGATGCCCCACTTGGAAGACAACCAAGTTCTCCAGACGGACGGGGAGAAACAAAAAGAACAAAGGGAGCTTTGCAGGAGAGGCGTCCCCGGGGGTTCAGACTTGAGCCCCTGGGAGGACCAGTGCATTGGGACGCATTCCAGGCCTTGACGTCCTGTTCGCCCTCACCAACCTCCGTCCACCCTCCACTTGTCCCTACGTGCGGTGGCAGGTTCTTTGAAAAACACTGGATCGCCACAGCTGGTTCAGATGATTCTGGCACTCGCAGGGGTGACGTTTACTGTCTGGGACAGTGCGGCTGGTAGAGTGTCCGAGGTGGGGAGACTCTGCCGGCTTGTGGAGCTGCGTCCAGGGCAGACTGCTAGGTCCACCCCTGGTTCGGCATTCCTGCTGAAGAGCCAGGTTGGGGCTGCCCACCGCTTTGCGGGGCTCGGTGCATCAGACGGGGCTTAGCAAACACTTGAAAAACTGGGGGGCAGGGTACTTTTGCAAACCACCCGCCTGATTTGCAAGGGCTGCTGCAGGGAGGGAGGAGACAGTGAGTATGCGGCGCACGTGCCACTCACAAAGCCGGGCACTGGGTCACGGGAGCCTCCGCCTCTTGTCATCAGTTGCCTGGTTACTCTGAGCTCAGCCACGGCAGCCTTCTCGAGGCCTTGTGCTAGAATTCTCTTCCCGGTTTCGGAGCGTGGCTTCACCCGAAGTGGCTCACTGGGTAACAGAGTCCCGATGGTGCTTGGAGTGGAACACGGGGGCCACGGGCACGGCCGGGAAGGTTTCTAACGGATGTCTGCTGCCTGGAGTACTCCCCCAAAAGGAAGGCCACCTAGGGACATAGCCCTGAGGACCTGGGGGTCCCGAGGTGCCTCTGCCAGCCCAGAGAGTCCCACACTTTCCTTCTGCAAAGGTTTAAAGAAAAAGATCTTTGGAGGGTTTGCTCAGCGTCTCCTTGCAGCACCGCTCACCCTCTTGTGGCGCACACCCACCCTCGAGCTAACTAGATCCTTACAATATTCACAATTCTATTCACCAGCAGGCAGTGTGCGCAGCTCTGCGGGTCAGCGGAGAGCGCTGGGTGCTCCACTCGGAAGACAATCAAGTTCTCCAGACGGACGGGGAGAAGCAACCCAGCTTCTCTGGAGGCAAAAAGAGCAAAGGGAGTGTTGCAGGAGAGATGTGCCCTGGGGGGGCAGACTTCGAGGAGGGCTGGCCTGTTTGGTGGTGGCACAGAGGGGACTCCCACGTGGCGACAGGGAAGAGCCTCGCAGGGCTGGACAAGCTCCAAAGCCAGACCACCACCCATGGGAGGTGAGGGGCTGTGGGCTGGGTACTCACTGTCCTTGGTGGCCTTTTGCCCGGAGCCCAGAGCCGAAGGTGGGGAGGGGTGGGGAGGGGCCCCCTCCGCAAACCACCAGGAGCTGTGTTGGGCTTCGGAAACAACACCGGCAGCCTGGCCTCAGTGCCTGCGGATCACAGGCCATTCAGGCATGCGCGCTGCCCGTCCGCCGGAGCCGCCCTTCTGTTCTGGCGATGCTGCGTCCTGGCAGCGGGGTGCACGACACTTCAAGGCCGGGAGGCAACGCCTCGTCTCAGCCGCCTGACACCCTGTGAGCCATGTCCACCTGACGCCAGCCGCGGCTCTGGCGAGGGGCTGTGTGCGGGGGGCGGGCTCTTCCCCATCCCGATCAGTGCCGGTGTTGCTGTGGTCACCATTAGTGGGGCCCGGTGCGCTTCTGAAAACACGCCCTCATCCCAACCTCACGACTCGACGATGGAAACCCCGACACCAAGGGCAGGTGAGGCGCACGGAGAACAGGTCCAGGACCCAAACTCGGGGGGTGTGGCTTTGGGGCCTGGAAACTGACAGGCGGCTCGCGGACTGGCATCGCGGGAGGAAGGCCGGCGGCGCCGAAGGGGCCCAGGCCGGCAGCAACAGCTTGCATTCCTCTTTGACACATGGGGAAACTGAGGCACAGGGCCAGGAAAACAGCTGGCGCTCTGCACGGCTGTCCCCTGGCTCCCCTGAGCTGGCGCCGGGGCCTGGTGCGTGCAGGATGTGCTGCCCCCGTGTCCGCCACCACCACGGGAGGTAAGGGGAGGACTGCCGGCCAGAGAGAGAGGAGCAGACGTCCGGACAAACGTGGGAGCTCAAGGCGCTGAGACAGAGGTGGCTGGCAAGGCTCCCTGAGGTCGCAGGGAGCCCTGTCAGCCTGCACGGGTCCCCAGGACCCACAAAGGCCACGGCCGTGTCTCTGAAGTGTCACAGTCGGCCCCTCCCACACCGGGCCTCTGGCAACGCAGACTTGCTACAGGCTGAGGTTTCTTGGAGGTGGGGGGGTTTCCCGCCATTAAGGGAACCTGCACACAGCTCTAGTGTGACCCCGGAAAAACACAAGGCCTAGAGGAGACCCCACCCGAGGGCACAGGCTCATGGAGGACACCCACGATGACAGACAACAGCGTCACCGCCTCGGCCACCTCCCCAAGGGGCTGACCTGGTCATGCCAGAACAGTAGCCTCAGATGAAGCCAGAACCCATCCCGGCATCTGCCCCGCGCCTGCTGCTGGGCCAGGCGGGCACGCGGCCAGTTTCCCACCTTGAGGACGCAGCCCCATGTGCTCCTTGGCTCCTACGTCCAGAGGTTGCTTTGCTTAAAACGTAAAGGGTGTCCTGGTCTCCAAGGAGCCTGGAGGAACTCTGTGCACAGCAGCACCTGCCTGGGCTGCAACCAGCTCCAAACAGAAGCCCCAGCCACCGGGAGGAGGATGAAGGGAAAGACGTGTCCCCATGGGTCCCCACTCGGGGACCTTGCGTTCTCCAGGTCAGAATTGTCCCCGAGTGCCCTCTGCACAGCTCCTCTGTGCTGTCCCCCTGGGTTGGGGGGCTCACAACCTACAGCCTTCCTGTCTGACCTGGGGAGGCCTGGGAAGCCCTCTCACTCCACTTTGTACCCCAGGCCCCTGCATGGATGACGTGGGGAGTGGGCGAAGGACACAGACTGCCCCTTCCTCCACACACAAAACCCAGAGTCTTCTCCACGGCCAGGGGGTGACAAAGAGGAGGAAAACCCCAGAGCCCCTCGGCTTCTCCTACAAGAGCCGGGAGGGGAGAGCAGAGGGCTGCCACCTCACCTTCGCATCCTGCTTGGTGAGGAAGTCCACGAAGCCGAACCCTCTGTGCGAGCCTGTCCCGGCCATCTTCTTTGGCAAGCGGACGGTCTTCAGCTCCCCGAAGGTACTAGGGACAGAAGGCAGAGCACACAGAGTTTCAGAACGGAGGGCCGCAAAGGGGATGGGGCCGATGCTCCCGGGCTCGGTCCTTCCCGTCAGGAGAGAGAAGCGCCGGCAGGTGCACAGTGCACACGCACACGCGCGCACACCCGGTCAGCTCCCGCCCAGCCAGCACGCGCTCCAGGGCATAAGCAGCCTCCTCCTCCAGGCCCCGGCCACCATGCTGGGCATGGGGGCACCAGCGGGTTGCAGATGCTGACGGAGAACATTTGGTTCCTCTCTGACAGGCCGACACACTCGCCCTCCCCTGGCCCGAGGGGGTTTCCAGCCTTGCACATGCATGGCCAGGCTGGGAAGGTGAGGGCTGCTGGTGTGCTGACTGGTCGGGGGGGGTCTCCCCAAGAAGTGGAGCTCTGCCCTGAACAAGCCCAGCACCCGGGACCTACTTCAACACAAGACGCCCGGACGCCACACACAGCGACTCCCTCGGCACTTGGGTTCTCACAGCCGCTGCGCCCAAGTCAGGCGAAGCTCTGCAGAAGCCAACGGCTCGGCTCCCTGACGGGGATCGAACGGGTAAATGCGATGGGGGCCACTCGGGGGGCCCCTCCGCTCTTCCCGCACCAACCTCAGAGAATTCCGGACAAAAGGATCTGGCCTCCCTTCTCTCCAGCCTCTCACACGCCCCAGCCCCATCCCAGCGTCCATTTATCAAATATATATGTGCAAACTGCTGCTGATAAATATTTAATGTGCCCGGCATCTGTGGAGAGGTATTATTTTATTTGAAAATCGACACACACTCGTGCGGGCGCCTGGGCACACGCACAGACGTACGACGGTCTAGGACGCTTTGGGGCCAGAGACCGACTGGGTAAAAACCACAGCGGGGGCCGTCTGCTCTCTCGAAACGATGTAAGCTACACCTGAGGCGCTGACCCGCAGCCCTGCCCGCATGACCAGGCATCTGCCGGCCCAATTTCCAAAGCCAGGACGGTGTGCAAACGCGGCATTATGAGCCCTCAAAATGAGCCTGCACGTCTCCGCGGAGCTCGGCCGGCAGTGCCGCTCCCCCTCCCGGGGCCTCTCTGAGCAGGCGGCAGAACCCGCAGAACCGGCTGCTGGCGACAAGGCAGCCTCCTGGGCAGGGGAGGGGCTGGGAGGACAGTGGGGGGGCCCTGTCAGTCTTCCTGGCCCACGGGGAGGGGCGGGCTGGGGCCCAGGAGCCGGGCAGGTGGGGCGGCAGGAGGGGATGTGACAGAGCCGAGCAGCCCAGAACACAAACCCTGCTTTCTTCTGCCACCTAAAGGCGGCCGCGCCCTGCGGCAGGCACGCTGCCTCTCCTGCTCCGTGGGCCCTGCGCCTCTGCGGGGGCTGGTGCGCGGCTGGGCAGGCAGGGGGCAGCTGAGGGCCCTCGAGGGTGCCTTCGGATAAATGGTCCCTTCGCTCTGAGTTCTTCAGAGACACGGGGACTGCAGGGATGGTGTGTCCAAGGAGCTTGAGGACGGGTGTCTGCAAGCACTCAGACCAGGTGTGACGGGGCTGACAGGCACAGGGGGGCCGGGCGAGACCTCCCGTGTGCCCCGGCCACGCTGGGTCCCATGTAGGCACGATCACAGACAGCCTGTGGCTGTGCTGGTCTCTCTGCTGCTGTCCACCCCAGCCCTGGGCTCTCTGGCCGTTGCTTCACTGCAGCTCGCTCTGAGCAGCCTGTGCCACTCTGCCTCGGCAGGGCTGGACACCCCACCAGCACCCGGGCGCCGTGGTGTGGACGTGTGGCTGCTTGCCTTCCCCTGGAGCTGGAGCTCGGCGCTGCCACAGTAAAAACACCTGCCTGTTTGTCACAAGGCCTGCCGAGAGGGGACTGGCGCCCGGCTCAGAGTGGACACCTGGCAGCCTATCTGGAATGACCCAACGGCAGCCCTGGAGATAGCCGTGGTCACTGGTGTACTGATTACACCCCCATTCGGCGCTGGGACAAGGACGACCGGTAGAGCCGCAGGAATGTGAGTCATGGCTTTACCATGCCTGTGTGACAGAGAAACCAAGGCTCAGGGAGGTGGCAGTTCTGCTAGGATGTGGCAGGACTAGAATGTGATCTCAGGGATGTTGAGTCTCTTTCTGCTGCGTGACGTTCCGCCCACGTCAGTAATCTGGGGAAGAGGGGTGACTGGCCGCTTTCAGGAACGAGGCAGCTAGGAATGCCGAGTGGTTGGTCGTCCTAGGGGTCCAGTCACTTGCCCAAGACCCCAGGACAAGAAAGGCAGACCAAGTGCCAGGTCCTCCCATCCACACTGTGCGCACACCTCCAGCCTCTGCCTATGGGGGCTCCAATCCTGTGCCCAGACGGTCTCGGTGGCCTCTGCCCGGATGTCTTAGCCCTCTGTGGTGCGTGGTGAGCCAGCCTGCGTGTCTGTGAACGTGTGGAAGGGAGAGAGAGCGGGAGACAGAGGAAGAACGAGGGAGGGGGAAAAGGGAGGGGAGAGAGAGACTGGGAGGTGAGTCCCTCCCTCTCCACAGCGCACTGCACGCTGCAGACGCTCTGTGCATGGCAAGCAGCTGAGGGTCCGGAGAAAGGCGAGGAAAATAATTAAAAGGTGGAGAAAGAAGCTGATGAGGAAAGGCTAGAGGAGCCATGCTTCTGTGGCTTGGGGAAGTGGAGTTTCAGAGCTCGGCTGCAGGAGCCATGCCAGAGGGGTCGTGGGTGGGGATCAGAGAACGGGGATCCTGCCCCAGGCAGCTGGGGGCCTGAGGGGCTGGGAGGTCTCTGCAGGGCAAATGTCAGGCTGTGCCCCAAGGCCCGGGAAGCTCCCCCATCCCGTTATTCTCCAGGAGACGAGGAAGGTGGGGGTGGCGAGCTCGCTTCCTCCTGTCTGAGTCAGGGCAAGGGAGCACTGGGGCCCGTGGAGCAGCCGGGAGACTGGACTTAGATCTCACCAAAAACCGCCCGATGCTGCCAAGCCCTGAACGGAAAGTCTGGGACTTCCAGACACCATCACTCCTGCCGCCACCCCGGGTACAATGCCCGGTGCCTGTGATGGGCTTTTCACCACGCTGCTTCCAGGGGCAACGACTGGGGGCAGTGGCGATACCGCCTGTTTTACAAACGAGAAAACCAAGGGCCAGAGAGGGGACCTGACCTGCCAGGCCCCCTGGCCTGGGGCGCACACCCAGATGGCACTTCCCTCCTGGCTCAGAACCTGCTGGGCAGGTGGGGGCTGCGGTTCCTGTAGGACCGAGTGTGATAATATAAGACTGACCAATACTGGTGATCTCAGCGAGATAGCAAAGAGAATTAAAATGGGGGAAAAAAAACGGTTGGGGGAGGAAAAAAAATCGATGAAGTACCTTTAGCTCCTTGGAGATAAGCGATATATAAATACCAGCCATTATTAAGGTTCTTATCTGACAGCGAAGTCCACGGAGCCGTTTTTAAGAGTGGCTTTGGGAGGAAGTTGTGCGTGAACCCTCGTCTCCCGGGGGCAGGGCCACCAGCGGGGGGAGGCCGCACAGGCCCTGGGACCGCAGGGGGAGGACAATCCCGGGGCACCGCTGGCTCCTCCCCACGCCCAGGCTCTGCCGCTGGGGGAGGGAGGCGCTGCGCTCCCCACTGTGTAGATAATAGAAACCACAAAATAGCAATTACTGTATCAGAAGCTGTGAATAAAAGGGACGTACCGGGCCTTTAAACATGGCCCTCCTTCCCTCCCCCACCACGCTCACACTTCAGTAACGAACTCACACCTCGCTTTTCCAATTATTTCATTCACCTTGGGTTCACCAATTACTCCCCCGCGCCGCGGCCCACCCCCTCCACTGGGCCACACACGCGTGGCTGCGGGCGGGTTGGGGGTTTTGGAAGACCGGAGCTGGTCCTCGAGTTTCTAATTTCCTTCCAGGTGAGCGTGGGTGGGAGGGGTGGGCGCGGAGGTGTTGTGCCAGACGAGGCGACTGTGCCCGGCGCTCATAAACAAGTCTGGCCATGCAAACTGGGCCTGCACACGGGCCCGAAGGCAGACAAGCCCCGGAGGGACCCGCCTGCACGCCTGTGCTGTGCACTAACCCCTCCCCAGACCTGCCACGGCCTGAACGGTGACTGCCTGGTCTTTGGCTCTGCTGCCAAAATAGAAGGGATGAATTGTCTGTTCTCCTTCCTGGGCCACAGTGATGAGACGAGAGAGAAGTGAGCAAGAGGAAGGTGAGGAGACACAGAGCGCCCTCCTGAGACACTGAGCTTGACATTTCTATAGCTGCTTGGTGTCTGAGTTTGGGACTGAGTGAGAGGGCTGTGGGGCGCCCCACCCCTCAAGCCCGCACGCTGGCACCAAGTAGGGGTTGGCACACCCTGAGGAGCCGAGCCCTTGTCGCTCTCCTGCTCGGATCAGTGGAAGCAGCAGAGTCCCAGCAGAAAGGCCGAGTCACACGGGCAGTTCCTGGGCACGACTGTGCTTTTTCCCGCCTGCACTCAGGGTGTGGCTGCGGGAAAGAGACCAGCTCCCACCCACAGGACCCAAAGTTGCAGTCACAGTGTGGTCTGCACAAGACGAAGGGGCAGGTGAGAATAAACTGCAGGCTTCTTGCAGTTCCTTCTCGAGGTAAGAAGAAAGAGCCGAGTCGAGTCTCTTGGCATTGAAAAGCCTTTCAAATATACCGCGATTTTCTAAAATCACACGCACATCGCACATGTTTAACAAAACTGAGGCTCAAAAAGGTCACAATTCCTCCAACACTTGGTGAATGACCTGCCCAAAGTCCAGCGTGTCCTGGGCTCAGAGTGGCTGGTTGTCCCTGAACCTGTTCAAGGGGCCCTGTGTGCAAGGTGCCCAGGGGAGTCAATGCCAGACGCCACCCTTGCTCCCAGGGGGCCCTGGTCTGCAAGAAGAGCTGGCAGGTAGGAAGTGGGCTCTGCCTACCCCAGAGACACAGAGGACTATGTGATAACCTCCCTCATCTCCACTGCGTATGAGCTAGAGCTGAGCACTTCTGATCTCCACACACTTCCACCCA